AGAACAACATCATCAAGAGCTTCTGCACCAGAACCAAGTGAAGTGAAGCTGCTACCAACCACAACCTGCTGTTTCTATGTCGGAAATCTGGTAGTTTGAACTCTGACATCAGAGACTCTGCTGTCAGAAGTAATCTGATTACTGTGAGGGGATACACCCCTGTTCACAGCGCCTCACCTTCCGGACCGGGTCGTTCATCAGTGGTACCAGCACCACGATGATGTTGTTGTGGAAGTTGAAGTGCGGCAGAGCGAGCAGCAGCTCACACAGGCAGCGGATGGCGACTTCGGCGAGGCCTTGGTACGACTGGAAGCCCACCGCCTGGCTGCGCTTCTTCTTCTTCTGCTTCCAGTCTGCAGACGGAGGTGAAGCTGTGACTCTGTTTGCTGTGCAGAGGACAGGTGTAGGTGGGCTGGGTCCTACCTTTGATAGTCTGCTCCAGGTCCTCCAGGTAGAACTTGTACTGACTCACCAAACCTTCCTCAAACTCCCGCAGCTGCCGGGTTTCCTTCTTCACCTGCAGTAAGTGACCGCACGGTTAACGTCGACCCAACCACGGCTTTATTCACAAACATGTACGGATCTGGATCGCTGGTACCTTGGTGGTTTTCTCTTCGGCGGTCAGTGGTCGGATCCTGTAGGAGGGAACGATGTCTTTGAAGATCTCCATCAGAGAAACCATCACCAGTTTCCTGATGGTCACGGCCACACTAGGGTCGGCCTCCATCAGCATCCCCCGCAGCTCCTTCAGCCGCTTCACCTGCCACAGCCGCCCACAGTCAAACAGCATGTTATGTCACACGCACTGTCCCTTTAACTTACACGTCACATGACATCACTGCCCCTTAAAAATGGTGGTTCTGATTCCGGTCCAGACCAGAACCTCAGTCTTACACTGCTGATGGGGTCGGACACGATGGCCGATCCCAGGCTGCCGATGGTCATCTTCTTCTGGTTTATCTTCTCCGCTCTGAGCCGCTCTCTCTGAGCCGGAGTCAGCTGCACCGAACTCTGCAGCGCCATCTCTGGACGGGAGGACACACGCCAGGACACGTCAGCACACATCAGAACATGCCAGGACACGTCAGGACACATCAGAACATGCCAGGACACGTCAGCACACATCAGAACATGCTACAGACGGGGAGTCTTGTTACCGTTGTCTGACTCGTCCGGTTCGGCTGCTGCTTCGTCTTCTTCGTCTTCTTCCGGCTTCGTTTCTACAACTTGAATCAAACAGAGCAGAAGTGTTACTTCCTCCTCAGATGATTGATCATCAGCGATCAATAATCAGTATCAGTGCTACCTCTCTCGATGCTCTGTGGGATCAGTCCTGTCTTGTCTTTGATCGGCAGCAGGTGGATCACCTCCTTCTCCTCTGTTCTCACCATCTTTCTGGGAACCTTCTCGTAGCCGCGAACCACCTCTGAGCTGCGCCTCTTCCCGCTGTGCACCGGCCCGCTGCGACGCCCCGACACACACAACAAACGCACCTCAGTCAGTCAGCCCATGGACACGCCCACTCTAACCCAGCATCGACTGTGTGTGTGTGTGTGTGTGTGTTACCATGACGACAGGTCTCTGGTGATGAAGGAGGCTCGCTGGGCCAGTGAGGTCAACTGCTGCAGGTCATCGTCCTCCATCATGTCAGTGGGCAGCGACTCCAGAAACTCCTCCTCCTCCTCCTCCTCACCTGTCGGTCACAGAGCAGGTAAATCTGCTGCCTGTGAACGCAGATCGGTGCTGCTCTACCTGATTGGCTGTTACGTAACACGACTGACAACCAATCACAACTATTGTTTACGCAGAGAGACAGATGAGCACTTTATGATGGCGGAGCAGATCGGTGGGTTAGCAAGCGAGCACACGGAGAACCTGATGGTAAGGAGAGGTTCTGATGTGTTCCTGATGACCCAGCGGTCATGTGATTGGCCCCTCACCTGGTCGGCTGCAGTACGTCTCCAGGGGGCGGGGCATGTCGGCTACGGCACCCTTCACCGCCTGTCGCAGCCTCTTCTGCTCTTTGCGCTGCTTCTTGGCGACGTTCTGCTGCTTCAGCTGCCGGTTCTTCAGTTTGTTCTCCAGCTTCATGCCGCTCGTCTTCAGCAGACGGCGGAACGTCGGCCGGCGCTTCTTCGACCGAGTCTGCGAGACGGAACAACGACACAGTCTGAACCCAAGCTGTTAAATGTGACTGAACAACGCAAGACACGAACAAAGGACAGACAAATATGTCTCATAAACCTTCTTCTCATTTTATAAGAGTGACATTTTATTTATACTTACAAGAGAAATACCTGCTTAACTGCATAATAAATACATACATCTGTGAACTCAAGTTATGAGTTTGATTTTCAGATTGTAACGTTATGTTTTTGTATATTTAGTCCAAATTTTGTCTTCAATGTCATGAATTATAACACATATTCCACTGTTTAATGCTAGGTCCCTTAAATTTATGTTGTTTAGTTTGTCTTTTTCATTTGTGGAAAGTAAAACCACTCAGATGCTGAGGTGTGGAAATAAAGAAATGAAAATAACCGTATAATTCCAAAAAAACGAGAAAATATCCTCAGAGATTTCTGTTTAAAATGAGAATCGAGAGAGAGAATTATAAATAATAAAGGAATTATATTAAGTGTAAAGGAGACGGATGATCTGAGGATCAGAAGTCTGTTTATTTCCCTGTAAACACCAAAACCTTAAATTCACAGTTTTCTCCATGGAGTCTGGTTCCAGGCTGTTCAGAGGTTCCTGTTTTCAGAGTTCTGCAGAGAGAACTGAATGGAGAACTTTCAACAGAACACGGTGAAAATAGCTGATTTCTGACTGTCAGAGGCAGTTTGATTAAACCTACTGAGCTGCTCCATGAGGCTCAGACCAGACTCCATTTAGGAAAACGCTGATTTAACAGCGTCTTTTTTTTCAATACTAAGTGAACACGTTTTAAATAAACACGTGGACTTCAAAATCTCATTTTCCTCCATGGAGTCTGGTTCCAGGCTGTTCAGAGGTTCCTGTTTTCAGAGTTCTACAGTGAGAACTGACGAAACACTGAACTTTTAAATTTGCCGGTTTCTCTACGGAGTCTGGCAGCAGCCTGAAGAAACACCAGAAGCTGCTGTTCTCGCTGCAGATCACACCAGACTCCGTTCAGTAAAACGTTAATTTAATAATCGCTTTTCTTTATAGCGCCATAGCAGCGCATCTTCAGTGAACCGGTGAACTTTAAATTGGCTGTTTTCTCTCTGGACCCTGGCTGCAGACGGACTTCTCTGATCTCGAACAGCAGCTCAGACCAGACTCGGTCCAGTAAACCGCTGATTTAACTCACCGGCGCCATGGCTCCGTGTGTCTCCGCAGAACCGAGCCGAACTTTAATCACTTGTCCGGGTCTCTGTGTTCACGAGAGTCGCTGTGTTTTGGCCGCACGCGTGTTGAGTAGAGACCCGGAAGCAGTGACCAAAGTCCCGCTGTGTACAGCGCACAGCGCCCCCAGCGGCGCGGCGTAGGAACGACACCTCTGATCCGTTTATCATCGATTATTGATCAGTGATTAACAACGACAACAGGAACATAAACTGAAGTTAAAGTAGGAACTCAGTAAAACTGTAAAACATGACCAGAACCCTTTCCTACATCCAGATGATTGTGTTAAACCAGTTTTGTACTGCCGGCTGTGTGCAGGTGATTTAAGACCCTTAATGACGAGTATTTGTAATATTTACAACCTCTTCTAGTGTCTAATTGCTGCTTTTTTACATTCAAGCACTAGAAATAAAGTTTAGAATCATAAACATTCTCTACTTTATGGTTTGTTGTGAAACTCAAAGCTAACGCTTTACAAACTCTGTGTAAAACATAATTCTAAGGCTGTGATTGGTGGAAACTGTCGTAGCGTCGCTGTAGGGCAGCTGGACAGATGTGCTCCGCCTGCAGATGTTTGTAGCGTTTATTTAGATTTCCCAAACACATGAAAAATATCATTTATAAAATTATAAAATGTGCGTATGTACACATTTACACAAACATTCATGATTAACTTAAAGCCACAGCTTCAACCAATCAGAGAGCAGCATTAGGATGGGCGGGTCCCAGCCCTGGTGGGAGTCGTCTCCATGGCAACAGCCACTGAGGCTCCTGGGTACAACAGGAGAAAACAAGCAGGTTTGTGTCTATTTGCTGGACCAGAGGCTCCGCCCACTCCAGCATGTCTGAGCTCTGATTGGTCCACCATTTTCCAAGAATTGAAAAAATAAATTCTATCAAGAAGAAATCATTTAATCCCGTTCTCTGTTCAGAAGTCCCTGTAGAAGCATCGGTCCGTTCACGCGTAGCTGCACTTGTGCAGCTTCAGGTTGCGCTGGTCCGAGTATCTCTTGCCGCATTTGTCGCAGATGAACTGCTTCCCGCCGGCGTGGACGTGTCTCTTGTGCGTCCTCAGGTGGCTGCCCTGGCTGAAGCTCTTCCCGCAGATGTCGCAGCCGTACGGCTTCTCTCCAGTGTGGACGCGCAGGTGCAGCTTCAGGCTGTTGGCGTTGTTGAACTTCTTGTCGCAGGAGCTGCACTCGAACGGCTTCTCGGTGGAGTGAGTCCGGCCGTGAGAGATCAGGCTGCTCTGCTGGCTGAACGTCTTGCCGCACTCCTGGCAGCTGAAGGGCCGCTCGCCGGTGTGGATCCTGCGGTGGATCTTCAGGTTCACCGCCTGCCGGAAGCTCTTCCCGCAGAGGTCGCAGCTGAACGGTCGCAGGCCGCTGTGGATGCGCTGGTGGTTCTTGAGGTTGACGGCGTGTCGGAAGGTTTTGGGGCACTGCTCGCACTTGAAGGGCTTCTGTCCGGTGTGGATGAGCTGGTGCGTCTTCAGCGTGACGGCGCGAGTGAAGCCTTTCCCGCACACGGAGCAGACGTAGATCTTCTTGCCGGTGTGGGTGTGTGCGTGGCGGTGCAGGTTCTGCAGCAGGTTGAAGCGGCGGCCGCACACGTCGCAGCCATACGGCTTCTCTCCGGTGTGGACCACGGCGTGCGTCTTCAGCTGCGCCTGCTTCGAAAAACGTTTCCCGCACTGCGGACACTCGAACGGCCGCTCGCCGGTGTGCGTTCGCATGTGGCTCTGCAGGCTCTGTCGCTGCCGAAAGGCGTGGCCGCAGACGGTGCAGGCAAACGGCTTCTCGCCCGTGTGGATGCGGTGGTGAGACTTGAGGTTGCTCTGAGTCGTGAAGGATTTGCCGCAGGTGTTGCACACAAAGTATTTCCAGGTGACGTTCTGCAGGAGGAAGTCAGACGAGCCGGAAACCTTCGGCGGCTGCAGGTCGGACGTCGGCGGCTGAGAAGCTTCCAGCTGCGCTCCTGCAACCAAACACGCAGCTCAGTTCAGTTTTATCAACCTTGTTATTGATCAAGTGTTGATCAGGTACTGACTCTCAGTGATTGCTCCCAGGTCGATGTTTCCGTGTTCGTCTTTAACAGTAACGGCCATCACGAAGGGCATCTCCACCGCGTTCTCCTCTGACTTCGTC